TCGTAAATTTGTTTCAATTTTAATTGACTACGTCTAAAATTTTTTACTCCATTGAATTTTTTCCTTCTCAATTAAAACGTTTAAGTTTTCTTTAAAATTCAATTATTCATATAATCCCTCGAACTTTAGGATTGGAAACTTTCCCTATTCTCTCTCTCTTTTTTCACCGTTAAAACATTTCTAATTCTTTAAAAAAAAAACAGAAAAAAAAACTCTTCCATAATTGTATACCTTAAGACTAATTTTAATTAATTCTCTTTCTCCCTCTCTCTCAACCTTCATATATATATATATATATATATTTTAAGACTTCATATCATCTTGAGCCGTCATTGGCCAGCTCCTATATTACTTTATAATATGGTTTTATATACATTATCCACGTATCTAGTCTATTTATATTGGATTTAATAAAATAATCATGTACTAATGACATCAAAATGTAAGTAGTACACAGAGCTCTACTTACCAATTTTTTTTTTTTTCCAATTGTGTTTTCCAAATTGTGTGTTGTTGTGTTGAATCTTCATTTGTAAATAATTTAGGTGCTTATAAATTGTGGGTTAAAATTACGATTTTGAGAATTCTATCCATTAGGGTATCCATACTTATGAATATTTGCCCTACGAGATAAAGGTTCTAATTAATTTATAAATCATATTTTTATAGTAGAATTGTTCTATAGTTTAGAAGTTTAAGTGAGATTTGTCACATGCTAACCTCCTTTTAACTTTTAATCACACATGCTAAATTATTATTTATAAGCTTAAACGACCTATCTATCATAGTAACATTTGAGTAATTAAGTTAAAAATTAAATTATTAAATACTATAAATTTAACTAAATTCTTTTAAAATTCAAAATCACTAAATAACTCTGTCACTAAAGTTTATGACTTATGTTGATGTCAAATTATGCCTCCTAATTAAACGAGCAAATCTATAAAGAACCATGACCGACTTATAAGGAAGTTTGGCCGACCGATGATGAAGTGAGCTATGTGAAAGAAGACTCGAACAAAGAGAATAGATACTTTGACACTTAGGTCAGTCTCAATCCAAGTTATTTCCTCTCAAGACGAGCTTTCAGAATTGCATACGTACATAAAGAGTGAACTTCAGTATTTATAAATGTCTGAGATTTGGTCCCACTCGGCATCCACTTTGCACGTCATGTGAAACCTGGTATGAATTTAGCGGTAGTGGCACATTGGAAGTTAAATTATGGTTGAAGAGTGGTTATGGATGATAATGTAGTATAACTCGGCCCGAATCATAAGATGACCAAGTTGGTAGATCTATATACTTGGCCATCGCGATATATTCTTGGTCAAGTTATATCTTTGACCGAGCTATATCTATGACAACCCTATTACTCTTTCGAAAATGGGTACGAGGCTTCATACCTCAGCCTACAGTCATCCTTTTTGACATTTTTCCTCACCTTGACAAACTATATTTATAATTTTGTGGAAATAATCGCACATATTTATCACTATTTACCAACTTCTACCCTCCAAAGAAAAATCACATCGTCCTCGTCATCAATATCTCAGCAAAAGGAAAGATTCATCTTAGAAGAAGGGATACGAAAAGCAGAAGGAAAGATCCAAAAGATATTATAAACTAAAACAAGAAGTGGAGTCTTTTTTTTTCCTTTTTTCTTTTTTTTTTTTTAAATTATATTATTGAAATTTTATCTACTATTCTTCACCTATATTTTTGAATTTTGGTTCATTTTAGATCTGATCATTGAACAAAAAAAAAGATCATTTTTATCTTTCCATTTTCAGTTTTATCTCATTTGTTTTTCAATCATAATTTTAACATATGACACATCAATCATTAAAATTGCTTGAAATTACACCCGTAAGTTTGTATTAAATAGTTTTCATTAAGTATAAAATTTTAGTTGAAATCTTGTAAATAGAAATTAAATCCGTCACTATTTAAAAATATATAGACCAAATGAGAGTTTTGAGAATGCAAAACTAAAATAAATAAAAATCGAAAGTACATTCACTGAACATTTCACCCACCAAAATCAACTGAAATAGAAAATACAACTTACAAGACCAAAGTAATATTTATTTATTTTTAGTAGCCAAGATAATATTTAGTTGGTGGGAGAGAAAAAGTAAAAACCAAAACCATATTATAATTATATTATATGCTTTGATAGTTGTTTTCCACCCCAAATCCAAATGGGACAAAGTGGAGTTGGTCGAAGAATGTCAACTTAGTAAAAAAATGTTGTGTTGGGGATTAAAATGTTTTTCTCTACCCAATGTCTCATTTTCGAACGCGTCTGAATTGACACCATGATATAAAAAATTGTGTTACTTTCCACTATTCCCATTTTTCTAGCAATTCTTTTCTAATGAGAGATCACCAAAATAATAATAATAATAATAATAATAATAATATATTTTGCCATGTCATCTTGAACTTACGTTTTTTTTTTGTTAAATTATCAACAAATATCGAGAAGATAATAATTATCTACCGAATTTTATTTGGATCATTAATTTTAACTTTGTCCTTTAATAGTTTTATTTAACTAGGGTTGTTTACATTACTTTGAAAAATGTATTCTATTTTTCCTCTTCGAAGCTATTTTAGTCTAGTTTTGTGATGAGAGTTAATTTCAGACTCAAACTTAACTAGGACATGTTTAAATTGAACGAGAGCTAGCTCCTGCTTAATTACTTTAATTTCTTATGCGGTTGTATATTCATCCACATATTTAGTCTATTTATGTTCGAATTAATAAATAATCAGGTAATGGGTCAATTAAAAATCAACTACATCGAAAAAGTAAATAACCATGTACATCGAGCTCCTACTTACAAATTTTATTCTTTTTCAATTATGTGTGGTTGTGTTGAATCTTAATAAGTAAATAATTTAGGAGCTTATAAATTGTGGGTTAAAGTTACAATTTTGAGACTTCCATTGATTAGGGTATCCATACTTATGGATATTCACCGTACGAGATAAAGATTCTAATTAGTTTATAATCATATCTTTATGGTAGAATTGGTTTCTATAGTTTAGAAGTTTAAGTGAGATTTCTTTTCTAAGATTTCGAATGTGATACAATTCTATTGCCAGTGAGATCAGCTATCTCCTTTCCTTCAACTAATTCAAGCGATTCCGTCAGTAGGAAAGTCATCTCATTGAACATTGGATTATATATACTGAAAAAAAAAAACAATACAAAATCGAAAGTCCAATATAGATATACAACGGTCGAGAGCTGCCAATTCTAGAGGTAACACTTTCTTTTTTCGCTTGTTCGTCAAGCTTTCGAGCAGTTCTTTCAACTGCCGCGCCACCCAGGGACTGAACAGGTTTAATTTAAATATTGTGCTATATATAATCTTTCTCTAACTCTTAACTTTCTTAGATGTTTAGTTGGTTTGGTTTGTTGGGTTAGTAAAGAACTAAAGTTAGAAACTATAAATGGGAAACAAATTCACCAAGAAAAGTGTTTAATAAAATCCACTAGACTTCAAAAAATAATTACCTATAATTTCGTGCATACTTTCCATGTGTTGTTACACTAATACGTACGACTTTTGTTTTGGACCAAACAATAACACATGCACTCACATAAATGCGTAGGAGAGAGTCTAGACAGAGGGGAAGGAGGAGAAAAAGAGAGAGAGAGATACCATTTAGGTTAAAAAAAAATTAAAATTTTAATAAGATATGACATGTGTCGAACCAAAATTTTAAATGTCAATATTGATAAAAATGTCAATGTATCAATTTTATGAAAATATCGATATAAATATCGCCAAAATGTCAATGTCAATTAATGTCGATGGATGTTTCTAGAAAATAATTAAAAAAATCATAACAAACATGCATTTCACTCTTTTTATATTAATTAAAATTTATTAATATTAGTATTGTGTACATATTAGTGATATTTTTTATATTTTTTAAACTTTTGTGATACTATAGAAATTTTGATTCACCTCTCATGTTGATGTTGTTGGGGCTGATTAGCGCCTGCCACGTGTTAGCATCGTAAAGGTATTTTAGTTGAAAGATGCTTTTTATTATAATAATTTGTGCAAGTTCCTTTATGTCGGATATCATTAGCCGAGCTGAGTTGTCCATCACTTATTATTAGCCGACATGAGTTAGCATGTCTGTAGAAGTGTTGAACAATGCACTAAGTTCGACAACATGCCGCGTTTTATAGACGGTCGGATGACCGTTAGCCCTATGTCGGGACCCTGTCAGATTTCATCCCTATAAATAGGGATGCCTGCCCTCCATGCAAGGTAAGCGAATCTATTTGCATTAAGAGAGTTAGATTAGATAATGACTAACTTGCTCGTTATAGTACTAATCTTGTTTTGCAGGTTCTTCGGAGGACAAGGAAGATCATCTTGTACGCTCCGACCTATGTAGATGAGCTTAGTCAATTTTTGGATCAAAACAAATGTCGAATTCATGTACATGTGAAAATATGTATGAAAATTTAATACTATGTGCCTAACTCATTAAAAAAAGGAGTTTGTATCATCAAAATTCTACTTTATCATATTAACTTTTTCCTAGGTCAACTAACAAACTAGATTATAAATTAAATCCAAAACTTGTGAGTGCCTCATGCATATTTGAAACCATAAATCTAACTCTTTGGTAAAATTGAAGGGGTGTTGAATTTGGCTTAAGACGTGAAATTCGTATTTTACATGCACTTGAGACATAAGTTTCGTAAAAATTCACTTATACAACTTTCAAACTAACATGAAAGTCTAACATTTTCAAGCTTAAAATGTCAAACATCTCAAATTCTCAATTATAACGTATCGACTTCGGATCCTAAATAATCAAATAAGAATCAAATTTATATTCAATCTAAACATAACTCAACTTGTAAAAGACACTTCTCGATTTTAAAAATTTCAAAAAACTTAAAAAAAAAAAAAAAAAAAACCTCTGAAGATACATTTTAAAAAGTTCAGTGTTAAAACTCTTAAACCCATCCAGAAAGAAAGAAAAGAAAAAAGAGGAATCTTTTGCGTTGTGCCCCTTTCCGATTCCCCGTTGTCCACATTCCCCATTCTCTCTGTTTCGGTCTCCAATGGCGATTTCCGACACCCTTCTTCTTCCCCAAACTTCCCCATTTCCCCCAACAACCCGCCGCTCCTCTGCCCCCAAAAATGGCCTCCAAATCCGAAACAGCGCCAGATCCGTCAACTTTCTCGATCTCCGACCCGAGTCCCGACCCGACCCGCTCATCTTCGACCTTCCCCTGTTTCGCCCCGGGTCCGACAGCTCCCGATTCGACGTGGTGGTGGTCGGCGCCGGGCCTGCTGGGCTGCGCCTGGCCGGAGAGGTGGCAGGGTACGGCATCAAGGTGTGCTGCGTGGACCCTTCGCCGCTGTCGCCGTGGCCCAACAACTACGGCGTGTGGATCGACGAGTTTCGCGCATTGGGCCTTCAGGATTGCTTCCACAAGACCTGGCCGATGGCTTCCGTCTACTTGGACGACCGGAAAGTCAAGTACCTCCACCGCCCCTATGCTCAGGTTCCTCTAAACCTTTTAAAATTCCCATTCACCATTTTCCAACATCATTTCTTTCTAATTTTTTTAGTATAATATTTTGTGCATATAGGTTGATGATAATGTTTTTTCAAAATGTCTTGTTTTTACGAATTTATTTTGTTTTCGTTTTTTAAATTATACGGTAAGCTCATGGCTTAGTTATTTGTTTTATTAACTTTGTCTTTGATCATTCACTTCTTTATTTCAAAATAGAAAAAAAAAATCACTCGTAATCTTTTTAAGAAAGTATTTGTCGATACGGAGGAATATTATCCTTATTATCATTAAATGTTTGACAACTAAGATATAAAAAACAATGAGTTTTGAATTTTTTTAGTGGGATAAGATTTGGTCTTTAACTTCAGAAACCAAATATTTTTCCTTTTTGAATTGTGGTAAAGTAAAATGATTGTATTGGTAATCACTGAATTTTATTATTTTTTATTCATATTTTGATCATTAGAATTTAGATCTAATATAGCTTTTAAGTACATATATTAGCACTATCTAAGCACCTAATTCCATGTTTACTACTGTATCAAATTGACAATTTTTTATTTAAAAAAAACAATATATTTTTATGCATTTTCTCTAAAAATTTATTTTTTCGTAAAGAAGGCGAGTTCTCTAAGGATGGTAGAGGACTCAATCCGCCTGCTGTGGCGGGGTGGTTCTTTTGTTTCACAATAAGAGATCTGGACGGTTATCTCGAGTTCCAACAAAACCATTTTTAAGGATGAGGACGACGGTTCAGGAATTCGCTCGAAAGAAGTGGCGTACCAAGGGATATTTCGATCACTTTGTTAGATCACTTGTTAAAATTTAAATAATAGTTGACAAAAAGATAGGGAGCATCTAAATATGTTTCTATTAACTATTAACATAAGTGTATACTAAAATTGTCCATCTAAGAAAAGATGTATGTATCTCCGACTAAACAACAGTGAGTTGGAATTTGTAGCTAAAGTGAGTATCTAATTGATTATTTCTTAAAAGTTACCAACTAAAATAAATATTTGATTCAAATTAAAATTGTTGGGGCAGGTGAGTAGGAAGAAACTGAAGACGAGATTAATGGAGGAATGTGCAGCAAAGGGGGTGAAATTTCACAAGGCAAAAGTCTGGGAAATGGAGCACCAAGAATTCCAATCTTCAGTCCACTGCGACGACGGCGCTCAAATCAAAGCAAGCTTAATCATCGACGCCAGCGGATTCTCCACCAAATTCATAGAGTATTCGAAGCCAAGAAACTGCGGATTTCAGATCGCCCATGGAATTCTGGCTGAGGTCGAAGAACACCCATTCGATCTAAACAAGATGGTTCTAATGGATTGGAGAGACACCCATTTGGCGAACGAGCCATATCTAAGACAAGAAAACAAAAAGGCCCCAACTTTCCTCTACGCGATGCCGTTCGATTCGAATCTGATTTTTCTGGAGGAGACCTCCCTCGTCGGCCGCCCGGCGCTGCCGTACGCGGCGGTGAAGAGGAGGATGGCGGCGAGGCTGCGCCACTTGGGAATAAGGGTG